TTAGCAATAATATGTTATATTATATGCAAATATAGACTATACTTTAAATTAAGAATCAATTTTATAAAAATCTATATTCTTAGATTTTAATATTTGGTGGAATAACATTTATATATATTTTTATGTATTTTATGCACACAAAATTGTCAATGAACGAGATATATATTTTATAAATGGTAATCAAGATGTTATCATAATTACTTAAAATTGAAATTTAACATAACCACAAATAAATAAATATTTGAAACGTTAGATCATTCTATTATTTTTCCTGATTTTGGTGTAGAGAAGATGGAAGTGAAGCAGCAGATGAAAATGAATTCAGACAGATTGTAGGGAGTCTGCTTTATCTGACTGCCACAAGACCAGATGTCATGTTTGCATCTAGCTTGCTTGCTAGGTTTATGCACAATCCCTCAAAGAAACACATGGGAACTGCTAAAAGGGTGCTGAGATACATACAAGGCACATTAGATTTTGGAATTGAGTTTGAAAAGGGGAAAACAGCTACTCTAATTGGGTACTGTGACAGTGACTGGGCTGGGAGTGAGGATGATATGAGGAGCACCTCAGGATATGCCTTCACACTAGGCTCAGGCATGTTCTCTTGGGCTTCCATCAAGCAAAACACAGTTGCTTTATCTACAGCCGAAGCTGAGTATGTGAGCGCTGCAGAAGCAACTTCACAAGCTAAGTGGCTCAGATTTGTGCTTGAAGATTTTGGTGAAGAACAGGTAGAAGGGACTCCAATTCTATGTGACAACACCTCTGCAATTGCAATGGCAAGGAATCCAGTTCATCACCAAAAGGCAAGAGGTGAAGAAACTGGAGATAACGTTGTTGAGCCTTAATGCGGTGCTTAATGACGCGGAGGAGAAGCAATTCCTGAACAGCTACGTGAAGGAGTGGCTCAATAAGCTTCAAGATGGTGTCTTTGATGCGGATGACCTTCTGGATGAGATCAATGCTAAAGTTTTGCGATGCAAGGTGGAAGCTGAATTTCAAACCGTCACGAATAAGGTGCGGAACTTCCTCCCTACTTTTCTTAATCATAATTATCAAGGCATGAAGGGTAGGATACATAAGTTGCTTGAAAGGTTAGAGCACCTTGCAAAGCAAAGGGAATTCCTTGGGCTGAGAGAAGGTGTTGTTGGGGGGAAGATTTCACAAAGAACTCCAACAACTTCCTTGGTGGATGAATCTTGTGTGTACGGTAGGGATGGAGATAAAGAAAAACTGATGAACCTCTTGTTATCTGATGAAGCAAGCAACAAGGATGTATCTGTCATCACCATAGTGGGAATGGGCGGGGTTGGCAAGACAACCCTCGCTCAGCTCCTTTATAATGATGACAAAGTGAGAGAGCATTTTAATCTTAGAACTTGGGCTTATGTTTCGGAAGATTTTGACGTTACTAGGGTAACTAAAACCCTACTTGAGTCAGTCAATTCAAAAGCTTACGATAATAAAGACCTGAGTTTTCTTCAAGTTGAGCTAGGACAACAAATAAAGGGCAAGAAATTTTTATTTGTGTTGGATGACCTTTGGAATGAGAACTATGGTGATTTGAGTGTCTTGCAACGTCCTTTTGCATCCGGGGCAAGTGGAAGTTGGGTCATTGTGACAACACGTAATGAAAGTGTGGCAGCTTGCATACGCACCATTCCGATTCACTTTTTGGAACAGCTGTCCGATGAGGATTGTTGGTTGTTACTTTCAAAACATGCCTTTGAAAATGGAAACTCGAGTGCGCGTCTGGACCTAGAAGAAGTTGGTAAGAAAATTGCTTCTAAGTGCAATGGTTTACCTTTAGCTGCAGAAACACTTGGAGGCCTCTTGCGTT